ACTCTTCTCTGTTGGGAACAGTTAGTTCTTATGTACCAATTCCCAGCCATGGTTACAGAGGCACGTCTGAGAGAAAGGAATGTACATCTCCATCTTTTTGTTTTTGCTCTCAGGAACAACATCCCTCTTTGTATAGCACAGCACACGAAAAGCTGGAGTCTAGCAATTGTTCTATGTTCTTTCCAACTCAACCTGCTTAACTCTGGCATTAGTCACCAATTCCTTGGTTTCTTAATCTTGCACAGAACGTGTTTACAGAAAAAACTCACTTTTAGCCCTTAGCCTCCACTGGCATTGTTGCTTGCACCGCTCTTTTGTTTTAATTCTCTGTGAATTAAAGTACCTTTGAAAGCTGATGCATTTTCCTATAGGCATTATAAACACAAAATGTAAAAGAATGACTGACAGGTACTAATCTATATACTGCCAGATATGAGATTTATAAAGACAGGTTTCAGAGTAGCAGCCGTGTTCGTCTGTATCCGCAAAAAGAACAGGAGTACTTGTGGCACCTTAGAGACTAACGGGTTGGATCACAGAAACCCCCTTGGGAGCTGCCACCCGATGTGCCAAGACTACCCCTGCTTCTGTTTTCCCTGCCAGCTCAGGACTCCAGCACCCTGTCTTGCTGAGCGAGACACTCCAGTCTGGCTCCAACACAGACCCAGGGTCTGAATCACTTGTCCCAAAGCTGCAAGTTTACCTAAAAACAGCTCACAGGAGTGTGCTTGTCTTTAGCACTCAGATGCCCAACTCCCAATGGGGTCTAAACCCAGATAAATCCGTTTTACCCTGCATAAAGCTTATGCAGGGCAAACTCATAAATTGTTCGCCCTCTATAACACTGATAGAGAGATATGCACAGTTGTTTGCTCCCCCAGGTATTAATACATACTCTGAGTAAATTACTAAATAAAAAGTGATTTTATTAAATACAGACAGTAGGATTTAAGTAGTTCCAAGTACATCCGAAGAACTGGGTTGTAGCCCACGAAAGCTTATGCTCTAATAAATTTGTTAGTCTCTAAGGTGCCACAAGTACTCCTGTTCTTTTTGAGATTTATAAAGAATGGCAGGGGAGAAATGGATCAAAGTTGTTGATAAATGCATGAAGGTTTGTGTTCAATAAATATAGGATTATATATTGAGGGTTTTTCTCAAAAATTCCAGCCTCACAGCCTTAGTCTTAAGCAGTTTGGCCTTTGGCTTTCTCCACTGCATTCCACATTCTCATGGAGGCTCAGGCTGTTCCTTCCTGTGATGTCCATATGTGGAAGTTAGCAAACTCTGATGACAGTAGATTGTACAGAACATGTTGTGGGACCATAAGATTTTCCAGATGAATATGGGGAAGGATCCTCTCCAGCTGTTGCTGACATCCAGACTTAAGAAGGCTTAAATTTAGCACCTTAGGCTACTTTAAGACAGGAATCCGATTGGAAAAAGGATTAGTGATATCTCCAAAAAGCTGCCCCCAGCCCAACCTCCATTCACCCGTGATTCTAAAATGAGAGTATGCAGCTTTTCATAATATTATTACAAACCAAAAAGGTGTGTGGACTGTGCTCCTTTGTCCCCATATTTTTATCACATCTGTAGGTTGGTTTCCTTGCCCCTATTTTCTTTCTTTTTGGCACCATAAAGGTTATTAGGTTGAGCTATAAGAATTTTTCATTTCAAAAGGAAGACTTCAAAGCAGAAACTGAAAGCAGATGTTCAGGTTTGCTGGGCAGTCAGACTTGATTTGAAAACCTCCATAGGCTCTTTATTAAAAGCCTGGAGTTTTGTGTTACTGATTGTTGAGAGGAAATTTGTTGGGAATGGGGTTTTCCTGTTAATTTTTCTTGCTGTGTTCTGAGTAAAGACTCAGCGAACCATATCGGCTAAATTATACAGTACGTTCTTTATAGCACCATCCTCCAGGGGGAAGGCTTGCTAAGCAACACATTAAGAAAGTCATGACATGCAGATGTATGGCAAATGAGCCTGGAACTATTATCCAAAGGAAAGAAAAATAACATCTGAGATTTTGATTTATTTATACTGGCACTGGTTTGCTTTATACCTGCAGCTGCAGCCTCATAAAACCTGAATACATCACTAAGTACCTCCCAGGGAAACTGCTTTTGTCTATGTGGGACAGTTCATTGAAAAAGAAAATGTAGCCACTTTGGGGCTTTTGAAAAAGGGACAAATTCAGACTAATAGCAATGTGTTAAAGGGGAGTTGATGTGATCTCTCTACCTTTTCCCCTACTCTCCATGTTACACATTTAATTATTTTATTTGTAATTGCTGATTTTTTTTCTGCTACTACTATTTAAAGAAACACACAGAAAAGAGAACCTATCCTAGAATCTAGATATCCTTGTCATCAACTAAAAATGCAATTCAAAAATCATAAATTCAAAACAGCATACCCCTCCCCAGATATACAACCACTAGACAGCAGAAACAAAGGGGAAAATATCCACTTCTCCCTATCCCTCAAATTCCTAAAAGAAACTTCATCCCCCATCACCCCCAATGTCTTCAAAGACTATAATAAAGTTCTGCTAACCTACTGAGAGTGTTCTGTGAGCAAGAAAGTCTTCTCCTCTAGAACTCTCTGGAATGCTCAGGTCTCATTAACCTCTAGGGGCAGACCATGAAAGCAGATCCCCCACCCCAACAGGAGAGAGGGGCTCTGAACTCAAACCAGAAGAACCATGTCAATGTGTGTTCCTAACCCAAACAGATTCAGAGTGTGGCTGGAACACACAATGACATGGGATAATCCTAGGATTGTCATGGCAGCCATGAAGTCCTGAGCTGATTTGGAAGACTTGTTATCTGTGTGTAGGGTGACCAGACAGCAAGTGTGAAAAATCGGGACGGGGGTGGGGGGTAATAGGATCCTATATAAGAAAAAGACCCAAAAATCAGGACTGTCCCTATACAATCGGAACATCTGGTCACCCTATCTGTGTGGATTTTAAAACTCCTTAGGCACTGTCTCCCTCAGTGACTCTGATGCCATAAGTAGGAACTTCCTCAGCTTGTACAGGAACTTCTGCTGTATCAGTGAGTGATCTATATCACCAGATCAGTTCCCATCTCTTTCCTGGGACTTGCAGATCACATGGAGAAGCACTATCAGGTGTAATTTTGGGGCAGTGGCTTTCCTGTGCTTTTGGTCAGATGTAAACAGTTGAGCCATGGCAGCCTTCTTAATTATTCCCTTCAGTTCATGCTCTACCACATACCCATCTGGTATCTGTTAGCCAAAGTTGGTCCTGTGTTGTCATCCCACCACATCTCTGCCATATGTGTGAAGTCAGAGTTTCATCCTTTGTCACATCATGGATGGCCAGTGTTTTATCATCAACCAGGAAGGGTGGCCTGGTGGTTAGAGCTCTAGTCTAAGATTTGGGAGTCCTGGGTTCAATTCCCTGTCCCACTAGGCTTCCTCTGTGAGGTTGGAAAATACATTGTCTTTCTGTGACTCAGTTCCCCATCTGTAAAATGGGCATAATAGCACCACCTCATGGGTGTTGTGAGATTAAATACATTAAAGCTTGCGAGGCTCTCAGATGTTACAGTAATAGGGGGCATATAAGTATTTTAGATAGAACCAATCTTTCATTTAACAATAACAGAGGATGAGGCCTACCCTCTGATACCTATTCTGAGATATAACATCTAAAGCTTTCCTTAGTAAGGAGAGAGGTGAAAGCTCCTCTGCCCAGTGAACACCTAAATGGGAGGGATGTCAGCTAATCCATCAGAGCCAAATCCCCCATCACCAAGGTTGGAATAAAGGGTATGAACTAGTGTAAGGTGCAGAGGAAAGTAATCCCCAATATCTGCACAGGGGGAGAAAAACAGCCAAACAAAAGCACTCTAAATAAAATCTCAGCTCTACATAACCAACCCACTCCCCCCCAGGCCCAGAGACACAAAACTTGCCCCGATCTCCCCCTCTACCGTAACCCTGCTCCTTACCTGTGTCATCACTCACAGAAGGAAAATATATGCCCTTCTCTTCCAACCCACCATCGGTGTGATAGCAATCCTGGCTGCTCCTTCCCCTGGAAATGCAGCAGAGGGCTTTTAAGGAAGCTGCCCCCACCCCACCACTTGTGCAATTCCAACATAGTTTGGGGTTCATGGAGACAGGATTGAGGAATGTAAAAACAAAAATTAAGAAATAAATTTAAGTTTGGAGGTCAAAACATTGCCAAGGAAAACATTGCACGAAAAATGGGGCTGCTGCTTAAATTTAAAAGCATCCCTTAGGAAATTTTCCCAGTGATGTTCTTTGTAGTTTTCTGTCTAGGTATAAATGATATTTGGCTTAATTATACTCTACTAGGTAGGAGGGATGGGCAAAACCACCCCAAATTCGAATCCCATTCCCTCTTTTTTTCAGGTTTGAAAAAGCTTGGTTAATATTTTCTCTCTCACACACATACACACTCATGGTTTTTCATTTCCAGCAGTTTCTGTAGTTTTTGGATTCTGGACAATGGCAGAAGTTCCAAAATACCACAAAACTGGATGTTCTTGTGGTATTTTGTGGCCAGCTGGCAGCAGAAATATTGGAAATCTTTGGAGACAGAATATTTGTGTAAGACTTCTAGGCAACTCCTGCAAAAGCAGGAAGTTATGATAAGCTAGATAAGCTCCTGAACTTCTGGGTGCCCATTTGAATTGAACATTTTGACGTTCACCCATCACTACTGAGTATTGCTTTTTAAATTGCAGCAGATAAGACTAGAACATTTTCACTAAAATGTAATCAAACAGTGGGGAAAGGTTGTATGTACTATGGGCCAAGTTCACTGATTAGCGTACGCAGGTTCAGATCTATGTTCCACCTACATATGACAACAGTGAATTTGGCCATATAGTTTCTTTGAAAATTGCAGTGGATCGTGTGTTATCGGTTTAAAAGCACTAAGGTTCTGGGGTGGTCCAGTTACTTCAAGTGTATATTTGACATTTCATTGTTGGTTCTAGTTATCCCTGAAAATTTGGTGAAGGAAGTCACAAGAATCCCTGGAGCCATCAAGGACACAATCAAGAAACTTCTTGCACACAAGAGCAGTGTGAAAAAACATGAAGAGATCAAGAATGTGATCCCAGAACCAGCCATGACACCAGCTTCTAAGGTTCACTTGCCATCTTTTGACTATGAAGATGGTGTTTACATTGGAGGGACATATGATGTAGAGGAGAAAGAGACTGAAGATGCTGTAGAGGAGGAACAGGAGGAAGAACAAGAGGACCTTGAGAACCAGATTGGTCATGAACAAAGCCTTAGAGGAGATGTCTTTAGTAAGTGTTACCATCATTTCTTATTTATGTGAATAAATCTGTACTGATTTTTATGTAAAAGTACATATAAATATTAACAAGATTACAGTCATATTATATATCATATACTTTTACATGTGTTTACTGGCAAAGGAGGAAAAGTAAACAGGTACATAGTCTAAAGATTAAAAACTTTGAATCTCCTTTATAGGGTATCAGACAATTAGGTGTTTAAAACAGATCCATTAGTGGAGACATAAATCAATGGCATTAATAATATGCTTTAGTGACACTAGTTGCACATTGGCATCTACATTCTTCAGTGATGGGTGTTCTGAGAATGCCTAAGGGAAATAGATAAACTTAAATACAGGGTGACTGTAATGTGAGAGAGACAAAGGCTAGGAGTGGAGGAGAGAGAGAGAGAGAGAGAAAGTGAGGCCTTGGCTACACTTGCAAGTTACAGCGCTGTAAAGCCTCCCCCAGCACTGTAACTCACTGACCGGCTACACTGGCAAGGCACATACAGCGCTGTATCTCCCTGGGTACACCGCTGCAGGTACTCCACCTCCCCGAGAGGAATAACAGCTGCAGCGGAGTGGCTACGACTCACGGATGTGAGTGTAAATGCTTGCAGCGCTGTACTAATCACCTTGTCAAGTGGCCAATCCTCTCCATTGTTGTGACCGGCTGCAGGAATGCGGAAGTGCCGGTTTCAAAGCTCGTACCACAGAGAAAAGCAAACAGTTTGCTGTTTGCTTTGAGTGAGTAAATGAATGAGCAGGGGGCCGGGAGTTCGGAACTTGCAAAATAGAGAGCTGACATGCTCCAAAAAGCACTCTCTCTCCCCCCACACTCCCTGTCACAATCCACCCCACCTCCCCCCTCCCCGTTTTGAAAAGCACGTTGCAGCCACATGAATGCTGGGATAACTGCCCATAATGCACTGCTCCCAACACAGCTGCAAATGTTACAAGTGTGGCCACGCCACTGTGCTGGCAGCTGTCAGTGTGGACAGACTGCAGCACTTTTCCCTACTCAGCTGTACGAAGACAGGTTTACCTCACAGCGCTGTACAGCTGCAAGTGTAGCCAAGGCCTATGTTCACTTGGAGAAATGCTGTTTTATTGATGCATTTCTTGAGGAGGGCTGTTTCACAAAGCTATCTAGTATAATTCCTTTTGGAGATAACCATTAAGTCCAGAACCTCCAACTGTAACTAAGGCCTTGGCTACACTGGCAATTCACAGCGCTGCACTTGCTGCGCTCAGGGGTGTGAAAAAACACCCCCCCGAGCGCAGCGAGTGCAGCGCTGTAAAGCGCCAGTGTAATCCGCGCCTGCAGCGCTGCACGCTCCCTCGGAGAGGTGGAGTACTTGCAGCGCTGCGAGAGAGCTCTCACAGCGCTGGCGGCAGCGCTGTGAATCCACAAGTGTAGCCAAGGCCTAAGACCTAGCCCAGCCAAAACAGAGTAACAAAGGAATGTAGCTTAATAGCTTTTTCCCATCCTCTCTACAAAAGCCCCTGGCAAATTGTGCTGCTTTATTAAAAATAAGCTCTACATTAAGTTAGTTTCCTGATTCCATGTTTGTCATCCTAGATGACGAGTAGGCATCATACAGAAAAGAAAAACAGAGTTTTGTGTCTTTGTGTTTCATATAGCAAGGCTTATTCAACATGAATCATTGTTATTCATGTCATATAAAAGTCACTAGCTATACATTACAGAGTTTCTCAGGTCTTTAATTTGAATGTGGAAATTTATCAGAAGGATACAGCTGAAAACATTGGTCGTGCTTGGATGGGAATTTCTAACACTAGTCTGACATCAGAAGGATGTACATATATTTCTTCAGCAAGCCCTCAAAGCATTTCAGTTCAGTTACTTCCTTGGAAAACAAGTGTTCCTCTCTGTTGTTCAACTGGAAAGTCATCTCCTTTGTTGAAGGAACTTTTAAATGCACTTTTAAATAATATTTGTAATATCTCTAGCTCAGATTCTTCAGGCTGGTGGCTAACTAAACAGATACTATAAAAGTCATGCCTTGCTCTTTGCTAATCCAGGAAATGTTCTCCCTTCCCAAGAATAGGGACATAATAACGTATAAGTGATCTCCTAAACTGATTAAAATGATACATTTATGTCCCATGGTATTATTTATGAAGACATATTCAGTTTAGCCAGCACTGGGATTGTTGATACAAAGAATCAAAGAAACCCTTCTTGTGTCAAAGAAACCCTTTCAAATAATATCAATGCTTTTTTTTTTAAGGAAAAGGTTATGTTTGCTGTTGCCAGAACAAAAAGTCTTTTATTGCAGTAGCAATAAACCCAAGTACAAATACATTTATTAACATGGAATACATTTGAGAATACTAGTCTGCTTGCCGAAGGCACTATTCTCCTAAAATTACCCTCTTTCAAGGTTCAGTGATAATTGGAGGATATTTCAGCTCAGTCAGAAGATAAAATCCAGATATTACACAAGATTGTGCAGCAGAGCCAACAGGAAGTCTGAAATCTGGCCTTTGTTCAATGCCCTTCCATTCCACCACATATTAATAATACTGAGCTCTTACAGCATATGTCAATTTAGGATCTCAAAATACTTTACAAAGGTGGAGAAACTGAGGCACATAGTGATTAAGTGATTTGTCCCTACTCACTCTGGATAAGCAATAGAACCCAGGTCTCCTGAGTGGTAGTCTCATGCTCTAATCACTTGAATAGGCTGCCTTACGCATGCTTCCACTAGAAAATTACACCATCAGAACATGACTTTCAGGAGTGATTTGCCGAGGATCTGCTTTCTGCAGGAGCAAGACCCATTCCTTTCACTACACACGAATGAAGAAGAAATATGAGTATTCAAGTGTTTTTGGGAGGGCAGTATTGCTGGGTGATATCCACTGGTTGTCACTGTAGAGCTGAATAGATTTTATATACACCTCTACCCCAATATAACGCTGTCCTTGGGAGCCAAAAAATCTTACCGTGTTATAGGTGAAATCGTGTTATATCGAACTTGCTTTGATTCGCCAGAGTGCGCAGCCCCGCCCCCCCGGAGCACTGTTTTACCGCGTTATATCCGAATTCGTGTTATATCGGGGTAGAGGTGTATATACATTTTAGGCTATGGTGAACTGGGGAAAGGTGCAGTGGAGTAGATGAAACTCATTCAGATCAAATCTCCTAGCCCTTTTGACTCTGCAGTGCACATCTTGATGAATGAATGAAAAACTATTCCAAGATATGGACAAGCTTCAGGAATAGCTCAACCACATATGCAGGCCTGTTCCAGGGCCTACATGGAAGGCCATGGAAGAGCTAGGGGGAGAATAAAGCGCTAACTAGTGTGGCTGAAATTAGGGCAACATAGTTATTCAATTTTAGCAAGATATCAGCTGTTTAGGAAACAGAATGATGGATCAGAACGAAATTCAGTCCCTGAATCGATAGAGCTAACATTTAGTACTGTGAGACATACAGTACATACATAAACACATCCAGATGCCTGGCTTTGAAGTTCAAATAACAGGTTGTTAAATAAGATAATATAGTATACATTCTAGCTGAGGGGCAATATCCCTTAGTAATTTTTGGCCTTTTCCTACTGGCTACATATTTTTAGAAAGAAGTTTATTGAGTGTGAATTTCTTCAAGAAAGATATCTACGTAAGATGCTGTTGAGAACAGGCTAACTACAGTAATAATCATGGGTGTCTAAAATAAGATATCTTTCAGAGAAGGTAAGAATAACATATTATTTCATCCACCTGATTAGTTTAGGTATCTAGTATAATTTCTTGAAGTATGTCATTCCTTCTGTTTTTAAAAAGTTGCTGAATTTTTATAACAAATGGTTGAGTAATGATTTATGCAATTATAACCGAATCCTAGAAATTAGAAATGGAAATGAACTATTAGGTCATCTGGGAATGTAGTGTTTCCTAGTGGATAGAGCACTGAACCGGGGCTCAGCAGACCTGGGTTCTGTTCCAGACTATGCCACGTGAACCCAGTTTTTTGAAGGTATTTAGGCATTGCTACACTCAGGGTTGCAATGCCTAAGATTTAGGAGCCTAAATATTTTCAAAGGGGATTTTGGCTCCTAAGTGCCATCATCTATTTGTGCCTCAGTTTCTTTATCTGCAAAATGAGGCTAATAATACTGACCTCATTTGTAAAGCTCTTTGTGATCTACTGATGAAAAGCACTATATTAGTGCTATATATTAATTAATTTATTATTATTATTTTTTATCCTTCTCCCATCACTGCCAGACTTTTCATATCCTGCCAGCAGCTGCATATTTGGTACTTTTTTTTAAGTGCCCACTAATTTTATTTTACACACCATGCTCAAGATTCAGAATAGTAACTGGATGAATTTGTTCTGCTCACTTTTCACATTTCTGTATTGTTTTTGAGTGCATGGCATTCACTTCATTGAACCTGGCAGGCGATGCGGCCGGGTGGATCCCAACACAGAATTCCATTTACTTTAATGCACAGCTTCTTTAGACTCTGCACCAGGGCTGCCCAGAGGATTCAGGGGGCCTGGGGTCTTCAGCGGCAGGGGGCCCCCGCTGCCGAATTGCCGCCGAAGACCCGGCACTTCGGTGGCGGGTCCCGGGGCGGAAGGACCCCCCGCCGCGGGTCTTCAAGGCACTTTGGCGGCGGGTCCTGGAGCGGAAGGACCCCCCGCCCCCGAACTGCCGCCGAAGACCCGGAGCGGAAGAAGCTCCGGGGGCCCGGGCCCCGCAAGAGTTTTCCGGGGCCCCCGGAGCAAGTGAAGGACCCTGCTCCAGGGGCCTCGAAAAACTCTCATGGGGGCCCCTACAGGGCCCGGGGCCTGGGGCAAATTGCCCCACTTGCTCCCCCCTCTGGGCGGCCCTGCTCTGCACAGGTGCTGGGCTCTGTCTACATACACCTTACTGCACAATCAGAGCTTGTGTTTGTACTGTGTGCCATTCCAGTTCTATTCTAATTGGCTGAAATTTTCCATTAATAATGTAACGT